CACTTCGCTGCTACTTACTTTATCGCTACTAACACTTCGCTGCTATTTATTTCATCGTTATTAACACTTTATCAACCTGTTAATTCAAAAGAATCAATTTTGTTATTATACGTATTCTATTAGCTAATTACATAAATATACTAACTTATTTTTAAGATTTTTTTTATTTTATTTATATCTTCCGTTTATTAGACAAGAAACAAAGTAATCTTTTGCGTATCGCAAAGCAAAGAGCTTGAATAGCGATTTAATACGTGATATCCGTTAAACTTTTACATTTAATATATTATCTTTTATTAAGTCTCTATCTTTCGTATCTATTCTTTTAATATATAAACTAACGACGAATACGTATAAAATCCTTTAGAATTGAGCTACACAAAATTGATTAATGCGATACGTATTATTTTTATCGTTATTATCGTTTGCATTTTTTATATAAAAGCAAAAATCGCTAATATTAAAGGTTCGCCGACGGCTATTCGAAAACGTGCAAGACAATCGCTTATACTATATAATCTTGTTTTTGCGATTGAATACGATAATATTGCGTATATTATATTCTATTTAATTAGTCAGTTAGAAAAGCTATTACTAAGAGAAAAGGGGGTGTTAGACCAAGAGAGGAAAACAAAAGGAAGGACAAAAAGAAAGGGGGGGAAAGAAAAGAAGGTGTAGCCACCTTTATAAAACGCAATCTTTAAGTGTTTAAGAAACTCTTTAAAAGTAGTATTTAATATGTTAATATCTCTGCTTATATGTAATTACCTCTCCGCAATTGTTCTTAAAGCGCTGTATCTTTTTGTATCGATATTGACTTTGATATGCTATTGTGTATTTAAAGTCGATTTTTTTAGCTTATTAATATCATTATCTATTCGTTCGTAAAGAAAGATAAAACTTTAAACGAGTCGTGAGCAATGATCTTAAATAATATGCAATAGTCTATTTAGTTTTAAATACGTTTCTTTTTAAGCTTTAGCGAAACCGAGTTTAAAAGATTATTAGACAACGTTTTTAAAAAACAAATACGCTATTAAGTTAAGAAGCGCTGCGATATTAGCTTAACCTTTTTAATTATTATATATATTATTAGCTATAACAAAATAAAATAAAGATTTTTTACTTATGTTTAAGTTCTTTAGATAATACGTTGCCGTTTATAATATAAGCGTATTTATTTGCAATATCGGCTAAATAAAAACCGATATAATAATTAAGCAAATTAAAGATCTTTTGCTACTTGGTTAACTTTTTGCAAAAGGCAAGGCGGATATCTTTATTCTTATCTTCATCTTTATCTTTATCTTTATCTTTATCTTCGTCTTTATCTTCGTCTTTGTCTTCGTCCGCTTTTATTTTCTTTATATTAATTAAGCTAAGTATACTTTTTTCGTTCTCGTTATTATAAAATGCTTAGCTTACTTGCTTTGCGCTACGAACTAAGATATTATAAGTTTTACGCGACTTTCGCAATAATAAACGCATGATATCTAGCGATATATAAAAAGCTTTAATACTAGTTTTGCAAATTATTACGGCTATATATTTGAAAAAGCGTATTAGATTAAACACCGAAAAGTATTCCTTAAAGATGCGAAAGAAAGAATTAAAATATAAAAGCTTATATTAAGACTTTTTGCCGCGATAACGAAAGATAAAAGGAATAAAGATTAAAGCTCGGCTTGTTTCCGATAAAGACTACGAAAACAAATGAAGAAGAGATTGAATCCGAACTTAATTAAAAGGAAATAAAAAGTCTTGTATAGCTTAAATAAAACCTTTAGAACCGTGTTTCGTAAAGATGTTATAAAATAATAGCTTAAAAAGTATCTTGCTTATTTTTTTTTATTTCGAGTAAAGTGCGTCGTAAGCTTTGCTAAGTATAAGATTAAATGCTAGAACAAGAAGTAAGATATCGAGATCATCTTTTCGTATATTATAACCGAAAAAAAAATCCGATCTTTTTTTATCGTTATTAATATCTTAGTTAATTTTGCGAATGAAAACCGTATCTTAATAATAGCGCGATATAATATCGAAATCAAATTCGTAATCTTTTCGCTTTTGCGATTGAGTATAATAAGCTTTGCATTTAAAAACAGCGTTGTATCGTATAAACTTAAAGTTATTAGCTTGTTATAGTATGTCTTTTAAAAAGATAATAAAAAAAGCTTTTATTAGCATATCTTTGTCTTTAACGCGCACGGTGACCCTTTTTGCTAGTCGATTTAGCTTTGATCGAAGATTAGCTATTATATTAAATATAAGAGCACCGTAAAGACCGAGACTTAATATAAGATTGTTTTTAAAGCGCTTTCGTTTATCGTATAAAAGCTCGGCGGGAATAAGATAAAAGCCTTTGATAGACTTATAATTAGTCTTATAGATACCGAAGTCGTTTATAAACAATGTAAATAGAATTGAAATAAAAGAAAAATGAGCATTAAAGGCAGCTGGAGCACCAAGGGCAGCTGGAGCACTAAAGGCAGCTGGAGCATTAAGGGCAGCTAAAGCACCAAAGGCAGCTAGAGCATTAAAAGCAGCGAAGTTTTTTAATATCTTTCGTTCGTATATATGTATTTTTAGTTTAGCTCGAATTAAATGTATTTCTTTTATCGGTATTAATATGCTTCGATTTAAACTTAATATATACTTAATATAATAATCAAACTCGAGTAGGTCTAATATATCCGTTTCTTTCGTGCTATCGTATTTTTATTTAATATCAATTTCCGTTCGATAAGCAATTGCATTCGATAATACTTCGAATGACTCGTAAAAGACAATAAGCTTTCGATAATCTAAAGCAATATTTATATCGAAAAGCAGCTCTCGCTAAAGTGCAACGCTTTGCAATATAATCATTATATTTTTAACGTTTATTATAAGATTGATAATCCGGTGTTTTTTGCTAATAAAAGTGATACGTCCTTTAGAAAAGCTATTGATAAGCTTTATTAATTTAATAATGTCATTAAGTAATATAATATTCTCGTTTATATCTTTTGCAAAGTCGCTAGATGTAGTTATTGCAGAAGAACTTTAAGCTTTAAAATAGTAAAACTCGTAAGGGTGGTTAACGTATTATATTATTTTTAAATGTATATTGTTTATAATAACACTAGCTCGGACGAGGTAAATGATCAAGTCTATTAAATCGTATTAATAATGCTATGTTTTACGCACGATGTATATATGCTTAGTTTTGCTTTTTTGTCTTTTTGCGAGGATAGCTTGCTTTTTTAATATAATAGTAATTGGCTTTCTTAAAAGACGCAATAATAGTAGTTAAGCACGCACTTGACGCTTTAAAGTATCGACTCGCAACGGTAATTAAAGTATTGGTTATCTATCTTTATTCATAAGTCTTTTAAATATAATATTCGAAGCTATTATAAATAATTATCGAAGCTGAATATACTCCGTGCGTAATATCGAGTTCTTTTCGTATTATAGCTCGAATGCTAAATGAAATAAAGATATAAGATCTTTTAAAGCAAGAATAGCGATAAACTTTATATCGAAAAGGTCTTCGGATATTAAAAGTGAAGATGATAATAGTAATTATAGATTTATATAATCGATTTTAAAGTTTCGAAGTCGAAATATATCGAAGTCGAACGTATTTAATATTTTTTTTTTTCGTCCGGTGCAATTATAGCGTCTTGTATATATATATATTAGCATATGATATAAAGTATATAATACGGAATTAAATATATTATCGTAAAACTCTTAAAGCTCGTTATCCGTCTTAACTTTTGTATCGCTTTTATATTTATTGCTATTAGCTTTATTTAATATATTAACGTCACTTTTTTTTTCGAAATATAACTTTAATTCGTCCGAAGCTAAAGTAAAAGATGCTGCAGATTCGTGTTTAAATAAAGCAGAATCGAAAGATGCTAGGTCAAACGCGTTGTATTGCGTAAGCAACGGTGAGGACTTAGCAGATAACGTAATAAGTATAAGAGAGACTAAGGACGAAGATAAAGACGAGGATTTTAAGGATTCCGATTTAGATTTAATATGCTTTTGCTATACGATTAATTAAAACGTATTAAAGCGTCGAAGCATATCGTAATTATTAAGAGAAGTGATGCTGGTGATAGCGTTGCTAATAATAGTGTCGGTATATCCATATCGACCTTAGCTAGTAGTAGTAGTAGTAGTAGTAGTAGTTGGGGAAGCTCACCCGTGAACCATGGTTCACGGGCCACTTGGCATGCCTCGCTTAGCATGTCAGCAGTCAGGGGACCCCCAACTTGACAAGTAAATCTATTAGCTAGCTAGTGCACGTGATTCCTTCTAATCGTATAGAAGGAATCAGCTCCCTTGAGCCTTGGGGAGCAGACAGAATTCAGATACCTTATCAACCGAGTGTTTTGCAATTACAAGTACTTTGACGACCGTTACGACCTTACGAATATATATTCCCAATCGCTTGGAAGCAATCCAACACTGATCAGTGGTTGATTTACTACTAAGTGATCAATCACAAAGAAGCTAGGAATACTCTATAGCGAGGATACCTTTCACTACGATACCTCCCTCCTTCTACAACGGAAAAGCGATTCCGTACCAAGTCGCTTTCTTACACCCCGATACCTTTACCTTACAACGGAAGAGCGATTCCGTACCAAGTCGCTTCCTATACTACCGATTTTCCCTTATTCCTACGAAAAAGTGATTCCGAACCAAGTCACTTTTATACAACCTTCAAAGCTGTAAAGCCGCGCCTGCTACATACAGCAAACCCAACTAATACGATCGATCTACGTACGAGCAGACAACAACTATGGCCGATCGAGCAACTAGACCTCCAGGTAGGGAGTCCAGCCGACAAGGAGCAGTAGGGTATTATACCTTTCGAGTCTTATCACCACTCACGGAACCCTTAGCTATTCAGCCAAAAGGACTACTATACCCAGGACTCTTAAGCCTTTCGGAAGGACCAAACGACGAGATGTCGGGCATCTTATTTGACTTAAACGAGCTATTATACGCAAGGCTAAACAATAAGATCACGGCTCGAGCGATAGTAAACGACTTCTTAGATGCGAAGTGTAAAAGGCTGAAGGATTACGACTTGTGGAGCTTATTCCGGCACGCTTTCTTACGCTAAGATTGGACTAGTTTTACAATGACGAAGGACAATACGGGACGAAGCCTTAAGTTTGCTACCTTTATTAGCTTTAAGGAACACTTGCTGTCCAAAGGCGTATGGTGCCCTCTAAAGCAAAGGGGCTACGCTAATAGGATGGTTAAGCTCTTGAACGACGAGCAGCAACACTAATGGACCTTTTAAGAAATAAAAGAGCAACAGGCAACACTTTTAAGCCTCGATTCAAAGTGGACCGAAAACCTCACGGACGACGAAGATAATACGCCTCAACCACCTCCACCACCCTTACGAAGTCCAAAAGGGAAGGAAAAGGAAGAGGGGGAAGAGATTCGGAGGTTACGCGAGGAGTTTGCGAAGGAGAAGAGGGATATGGAGCAAAATATGGAGGTAATAGCAAGGCAAATGGCGGAATTACGGACTTACGCTATACAATCTAATAAAGAGCTACGACGAAGCACTTCAGCGTACTCGACGCCCTCAATTCATCAATCGCTACGCAATACGCTAATCATACAAGAGCCAAAATCACCTCAGCGGCCTTCAAACCCCTTTCTCAAAGGCTACACTTAGTTTTCTGAAAAGCCTGGACCGAGTAGCAACAAAAATAGTCTTGAGATCATCATCGGACCAGACAACACTCGAGGCCACGGGAGCTACACGCCAAAAGAGGACCCGTTAAAACCTAAGAGCATTCCGGACAAAATCAGCTCTCGCCAAGGACAGCGTGCAGATTTCCGTGCCCAACCTTAGCAACCCGAAAAGGGGATCCAGCACCCTCGAACGTACCGACAAGCTCCTTAGATCCTTTAATAAGCCACGTATCGACAAGAGGGATACTAAAGGTATGAGGATCGCTAAGAGCGCGCTTAAGGGTACGGATATCATTAAGCTAGAGCTTTAGCCGGTGACCCAAATAGCTCTAGCGATCTTGACGATGACCGACGAAGGGGAAACGAAGGAGATTAGCAAAGAGATCGAGGCTACGGATACGGAGGGGGTAGGAACAGGCCCTTTGGACTACCAAAGGGATTCGGAAACGGACCTTCAAGGGACCCCGGATTCGGAAATGAGCTTTTTAAGGACCTTAGAAGAGGACGGACTACCGGCAACTATATCGGTAACCCTTTACCGATCAGACCATTGGCTAAGCACAACACGCTTGCGTACGGCACTCTAAGCGCTCTTGACGATAATAGTAACGATTTCCTTGAGCTAAGAGCAACTGACCTTCACTTAAGAGCAAAGGAGTTGGCCTTGTTTGCAAGAAGCTTTCTTAAAGAACTGAAGTATTCGAGACTCGACGATGACTTCAAGACTTAATTAAGTATTTTCGCTGACTAAGCAAGTCGGTACGGCTTGACATCCGACGACTATTTGGCAGCGTTCTTAATTATGCTTACGGGAAAGGCTATAACTTTTTATTACAATCATGTGATAAAGGCTAGGCTTCCGACGTTTAAAGCAAACGTTATTGCTATGAAGGACCACTTCGAGACTGACCACCGGCGGCAAGTAAAATACGACCGCTAAGAGGAAATTTCGCTAGATTTGGTTAAGAAAGAGAATCTAAGGACTTCGCTTAGCGAGTGCTTTAAGAAGCTCGCTAAGGAGCTCAAAGGCATTCAAAGCTCTTTACGACCAGGTTTAAAGGACGATCGAAGTCTTGCTGACAAGCTGTATTCAGCTTGTAAAAACGTGCTAGAGACTACGATTGCACGAATGAACCTTGCGTTTACCTTTACCGCCGCAGTTGCCGACATCCGCCGAGCAATTGCATTTGCAACTAAGACCTTCCGACCCGCTAAGGCGAGTAGAGCTTACGCGAGCTTTAACGAGCTATACGATTACACCTGCTCTTAGCACAACACTTTAGAGGCTGACTCCGATTTGGACGAGGAATACGAATGCTTTATTCAAGACCGCCAATACTTCGAAGGTAAGAAAGCTGCCAAGGCTACTAAGGGTGAGAAAAGGTGTTTTGTTTGCAAAAAGCCAGGTTGCTAGAGCACTAACCACACCCTCGACGAAAGGAAGGCATCCGTCGCCAAGTTCTAAGCTTTTAAGGACGTAAAAAAAGTAACGAAAAGCAAATTTTCTTAATACGTGGCGTCGATCGAAGGCTAGCTACTTGTATCCACGGAAGAATTCGATCAGTTTATCGCAGGCTTACTAGACGAGCCACTCGAATCGGGCAGTTACGCTAATATGTCGGAAGGTTTTGTGACTACTTACGGCACCTTTGACGCTGACGAGGTATACAAATAGCTAGAGATTCAAACGGCATTCTACGCCTTTACTAGCTAAGTAAAGACTTAAAAGATGCTCGAGCAAGATCCGCGTGTGCCCGCGAGTAAGGCAGAGACTTACATAGCCTTTAAGTACTTTGAAAACGTGTTCATAGGCTTTATGATTGACAGCGGAGCAGCCAATTTCTTTACCGTTGGCTTGCCTTAGCTACGAGCACTTTAAAAAAGGTACCTCGAGGTCTAATTAGATACATCTCGAGCAAGGGAGAAGTCCGTCAAATACGGCATCGGCTCTGCTACTTCTATTAGAGCAGTTACCTTAGATACTTCTTTAGGTCAAGTGGAGTTCTACGTTGTAGAAAGCGACGTACCTTTCTTATTCTTATTAGCTAACATAGACAAGCACAAAGTGATCTTAGATAACTTGCGGAACGTGCTAGTCTAAGAGAAGAGGGAAATACTAGTAGTAAAGATGTTTAAGCACGTGTGGATGCTATTGAGTAAAGAGCACGCTGCTACTTATTATAATACCGAAGGCGAGACCGTCTATTGCTACTTTACGAAAGAACAATTAAGGACTATCTACAAGCGTTTTGGCCACTCTTTAGCAGGTCGATTTGCTGCTGTTCTTAAAAGGGCCGGGCACGAATTTAAGCGAGATTTGCTTTATAACATTTAAAAGTTTTGCTACTATTGCTAAGTATTCGGACGCTCTCCGAAGAGGTTTAGTATCAGACTCAAAGACGATACTGACTTCAATGATACGGTATACGTAGACGTAATGCACTTTGACGGCAAGAACGTATTATACGTCGTTTGCGATTCTATTAATTTTCAGGCCGCTACTTTCTTTAAAAGCATGTCCGTACAGCACTTACTTAAAGGATTTAGTCGATGTTAGGTCAATACTTACGTCGGACCTTTTACAAACGTAGTGCACGATCTCGGAACCAACTTTAATTCGGCAACGTTCCGAGGTTACTTTAAAAGTATTAGCAGCACTTTAAAGCAGATGCTTGTAGAAGCTTATTATAGCGTCGGGCTAGTGGAACGCTATTACGTCCTTGTGCGACGCGCCTTTGAGATCGTTATAAAGGAGCTTCCAAAAGCCTTAAAGGAGGACCGGCTTCAAATGGCTATCAAAGCCATCAACGACATAACTGGACTTAATGGCCTGGTTCTTATACTCTTCGTTTTTAAGACTTTACCGAGGCTGACGGAGCAAGATCGACTTGCCGCGTCTACTTAAGAGCGTGCTGCTGCTATTAATAAGGCTATAAGGGAAGTACGAAAATGCTACGCTGCGAGGCAGGTTAAAAACGCGCTCAAGAGGAGGAATGGCCTAATTACGGAGCATATCTTAGACCTCTTTATTGGCTTACGGGTGCTAGTATAGCGGGAAAACCAAGGGTAGAAGGGCCCCTTTCAGCTGCTTGGCAAGCAAAAGCACACGTGCACAATGGCTTGTCCGAGGCTTACGGAATTCAAGTCAACTTTAGTAAAACCTTACTACTTTGAAGTTGAAAAGCTGCTAAAGGAGTTGCAAGTACTTGAGGTAGAAGTGGAAGAAGAGATAGAAGAAGAAGTGGAAGATGATTAGAGCGAAAGCGAAAAAGAGCTGGAAATACGAAATTCGCTTAAACCTTAACATTCGCTTAATCTACCGAGGTCGCTTAATCTAAGAAGCTCGCCAAGACTAACAAACAGCTTCTTTAACCTTTAACTTGCTAATCTTTAGAAGTTAATAATACTAATAGTCTAGATACTTTATTAGAAGTACGATCTTAATATCTCGACCGTGCTCGACGAAGAGGAAGGCGATTCTTACGTTTTATTTACTAAAGACTCCGAGGTGTTGATTACCGACAAGGAACGCCGAGACCATAAGCTCTTAGCTAAGCTACGAGCCGAGGGAATCATTAAGAGCCCCGAGGCACTATTTCAAGAGTCTAGAGCAAAAGAATTAGCTGGATTGATAGCTTAAAGCATTCTTCAAGTGATCTCGAGCATCGACTTACGCGTTAAAAGCGCTAAGATTTTCGGATTTAAGTTTGTTAATAAGATTAAAAGCAAAGGAACACTTACGCTATACGAGAAGTCTCGTATAGTAGTTTAAGCTTTTTAAGACAAGAGCAAAACGAAGGTACTCACCGAATCACTTACGGTGCAGCGAGCGGGCTAAAGACTTTATTGTGCTCTAGCTCTTTCTTTGATAAAAGACTACGAGTGTTAAGTTTGTGGCAAGGATATCACTCAAGCTTACACTTAGTTAAGCACGAAGCTCATTCGAATAATCGTCGTGCGACCACTTAAGGAGATCATTTATCGATTCCCTTTCGGCACCTTGTTCTTTATAACTGGCCTTTTGTATAGGATCTTCGAGGCAGGAACGCATTAGTATAAGCGTTTTTCAAAGCATTTCACGAACAACTTCGAGATAAAGCAATCGAGCTTTGATTCTTGCTTCTTTATATCAACTAATAAAGATCAGCTAAGAATAGCTGCTTTACAAACGGATGATGTTCTTATAGTTGTCAATCTAGTTATAAAGGTAAAGGAAGAAAGGGAGCTGGTTAAATCCAAGCTAAGGAGCAAGGAAATGAAGACTTTTATACACGCCGAACTAATGATTTTCAATAGATGCAAGCTATCCTTGGATAAGGAAGGGTTCGGACTGTCAGTTAGGCAAAAGAAGCAGGGTGAGAGGCTTGCAGTGATCAAGCTCGATTCAGCCACACGGGCTAAAGAGTACTTGGAGCAACGTGCCCGAAGGGCGTATTTAGCTATTATTTGCTACCTAGAAGCATCTTGCGCTCTATCGATGGCCGCTTAGCACTAAGAACCGAAGGACGAGGACTACAAAGCCCTTAATAAGGTGATCTAGTAGCTGATCGATCACTCAACTCGAAGGATCTATTACGTGCCCTTGGACCTGAAGACTGCGAAGCTCTTTGTGTTCGTGGACGGAGCGTTTGCTAATAACGCTGACCTCAGCTTTTAGATCGGTTTCGTAGCTATTTTTAGCAATAAGGCTTACGTAAGTGAGAACGAGTTCACTTTAACGAGTAATATCTTATATTAAGTGTCACAGAAGTGCAAGAGGGTGATAAGAGCAGTATTAGCCTTTAAGCTATACGCGATGTCCTTAAGTATCGATATAGCTATTGCTATATCGACTACCTTTGCTTAAATCACGGCTCAGCTAAGAATCTTTAACTTCCTCGTAGTCGTGTGCACTGACTCTTACTCGCTCTACGAATGCATAGTAAAACTAAAGACCATTAAGGAGAAGCGTCTAATAATCGATATTATAGCTATTCAAGAGTCATACGAAAGGCGAGAGCTCTCTAAGGTACGCTAGATCGGAGGCAAATCTAACCTTGCTGACGCCATAACTAAAATCGAAGCTAATATCTCTTTGCAAGAGCTAGTTTTGACTAATACCTTGAAGGTGCAAGTCGATGGATAAGTAGAAAGGCCGCTGTAGAAGGAAGAGGGAGATTGTTTTTCCTTTGTTTAATTACCTCCTTTTTTTTTTTTTCGGTCGATATAATAGTTGGCAAAGCACTATTTGCCAAAGAAAGAGTTGCCGGTGTCGGTATATCCATATCGACCTTAGCTAGTAGTAGTAGTAGTAGTAGTAGTAGTTAAGGAAGCTTACCCGTGAACCATGGTTCACGGGCCACTTGGCATGCCTCGCTTAGCATGTCAGCAGTCAAGGGACCCCCAACTTAATAAGTAAATCTATTAGCTAGCTAGTGCACGTGATTCCTTCTAATCGTATAAAAGGAATCAGCTCCCTTGAGCCTTGGGGAGCAGACAGAATTCAGATACCTTATCAACCGAGTGTTTTGCAATTGCAAGTACTTTGACGACCGTTACGACCTTACGAATATATATTCCCAATCGCTTGGAAGCAATCCAACAAATAGAATTGCTAGTGATAACGTTATTGGTAATAGCGTTGCTAGTGATAGCGTTGCTAGTGATGGAATTATTAAAGGGGTGTTGCTTGAAAGATGTTGCTAGTAAAAGACGTAAGTAATAGCTAAAAAATAATAGTTAGCGCGCGTGAACTATATTACTTATAATAGTAACGGTTTTAGCAATTGATAAAGCTGCAGCTCGTAATTAAAAAAAGAATATAAAGGGTGACGTGCACTTGTGCCGATTTTCCTTAATTATTATGTTGTTATAGCATATAATAATCGTAGTAAATATTATTTAATTATAGCGTTTTATATATATAATATAGCTAGTACTAGTTATATTATTATTATTGTTATTATTGTATTTATTTACGTCGGGCGGGTAGCAAGCGAAGCCTGCCGCCTTAAGACCTTTTATAAAGTACGGCGACGTGCTAAGCTAAAGAGTTATATATAAAAAGGCCTTAGAAAGCAATTCAAAATGCTGTAGCGAAAGCTACTATCGCATGCGCTTTTCTTTTATAAATAAGATAAATTATATAAAAAGAAACTTTTTATTAAAGGAAAACTATAAAAAAAAGAGTTAAGCAAATATAGATTGCTAAAGCTAGCTAAGAGCGAGCTGTTTACGTCGCGTAGCGACAAGAATCAAAGCCGGACCGAGGTTAGCCGAGTTATATTATTATATAGCGATGAAAAAGCTATTTCTAAACTGCTATAACGCCGAAATAGCAAAGGTATCTTAAATAAGTTTTAATAAAAAAAATACTATAGATTAAAAAGCAAAAAAAATCAAAATACTTATTAATTATTATATACCTTATCGCTTCGAACTTAAAAATTATTTATTACTTTTTTATTATCGTCGCCTTAGCTTCTAACATTTCTATTATCGTCGCTTTAGCTTCTAGCATATTTATCATCTTCGCTTAATTTATTATACTCTTTTAAGTTATCATTTCTAACTTTTTGTTTATCTTCGGTTTTTTTTTATAGCTTTTTCTAGCTTAATCTCTTTTCGTATCGTTTGCTTAAAAAACTCTTCGTCGACCTTTATGTCTTTATCGCTATTAAGATCGATAGCCTTTTTAGCATTTCGTTTTATTAAAATAAATGAATCGATGAATAGAAAATCTTTTATGCTTAATTTTGCAAATACGCTATGTTGATAATAATTATTAAACGCACTTAAAAAATATTGACGAGTATATTTAAATAGCGTTTAATCTATAGTATAGATCAATAAAGTTGTTAGTCGTTTATAAACGATTAAATGCACGGTAGCATCTATTAAATTAGCTTTTTATTATTGTAATAATCGAATAGAATAAGTACTTATATCGCAAGAAATTCAGCTTTAAATCAGTTGCTTTTTCGAAGTCGATAGCTATAGTAAATATAAAAAAAATGCTTATGATTTAATGCAATTGGAATTTCGAATTGATGATCGACTTAAGCTTTTTGTAATTTATAGACCGCGTTAATACTTTATCATCTTTATTATTTGCGAAAAATTGTTTAATGAAACTCTTGATTTTTCGTAGCAAATAGCTTTTTTAGTTTTTAAAGTTATTAATAGATTTAGCCGTATAGTTTTTAAATATCGCGTTAGTATTCGATAATCTAAAGAAAACCTTCGATATTAAGATGTGCGCGTTTTTCCGATTAAAGCTTGTAATAAAAATCCTTCGATCTTAAAGTTCTAACTTAGCTATAGCTTTATTCTTAGTCTTCGTATATTCGACGTACACTTTAATTACTGCAGCAAATTCGATATCTTTCGAGTCGATAGCTTTTAAGAATTATATTGCTACTTTGCGTTTTTTCTTTTTCTTTTTATCGTTAAGAACTTCGCTTCTTTTCGCTAAGCTTTGCAAATCGCTTTCTATAAGCGGAAGTATATTGGCGGCGCGAGAGAGTAGGTTAATAATAGCAGGTTTAGCGGTATTATAAGAAGCAGCAGGTTTAATAGTATTTTGAAAAGCAGCAGGTTTGGCGGTATTATGAAAGGCAGCAGGTTTGGTAGTATTTTGAAAGGCAGGTTTGACGGTATTCTAAGAAGCAGGTTTAGCGGTATTTTAAAAGGCAAGTTTGGCGGCATTCTGAGAAGCAGGTTTGGCTGTATTTTGAAAAGCAGGTTTGGCGGCATTTTAAGAAGCAGCAGGTTTAAAAGCAGCAGGATTGATAAAAGGGCGAGAGATAGTTATAGCGGCCGCTATATGTTTAATAAAGTTAGCAGATTTCGTAAAAGTAATAGAAAGAACCTTTTAAGGTTTATATAATAAGTTGTGTAATAAAGCTTTAAGCGCGCGAATGCTTA